CGTGAAAATCTAAGAAACAAATATTGTAGAAAATAATTTATTCCCCATAACACTGCTTCTCGTCTCAAAAGGTTGTCTCTGAATAGAAGTTTTTTGACAAAGTTTAGGTATATATACATATATTATGCTTGTAACTGTATGTACCGTGCATGGTCGCTAGTAGAAACAGAGAAACGCTTTTAACTTCACACAGACTTAACAGAATCCCGTTTCAAACCAATCACTACTCAGTCGCCGTCGCTCAGTCGGTTGTGTTTGTTATACCTACCCACTTGCGAAATCAGATATGTTATGATCGTGTACAGACAACAAAATGCGTAAAATAAAACTACGCCTGAGTGAAATTCAATATGCATGTTTTTTTTTAAAATTTTATTTAGTGGTTTACATCTCTTTAGACATTATGTTTCATACAATGTTGGCAAAAATTTAAATGTCATAATGAAAAGTGCATTCGATGTCTAGAGGGAAGTCGGCTTTGACCATAGAGGTATAAGAATAGAGTGGGGAAGGCGGCTCTAAAATAGTCCGTCTAGCAGAAAGAGAAAGAAGTTGAGAGACCTCTGGCTATCTCTCTCTCTTGTGACGCATGGCTTCCAATGGCATCACATCGAAATAGTAAAATGCTTACGGTTGCCAATGCGCATGCGCGATTAGAGAGAGAAAGCTCGCTAGCTTCATCTTCTTTCTCTATCTATTAGAGGGACACTTCCACCTGTAGTAGAGTCTATATCTCCCCTACGCTATTCTTATACCTCTATGACTTTGACATCTACGCACTCGCACTATAATCTCGTTGCTATTGACATTTCCTGTAAATATCACGTTTCCTATATTTTTACGTCACAACCGCTTTTGACGCGTTTCAAAATATTCGAATTTTCCATCATTTTGAGTTCCTCGGACTTTTATATCGTTAGTTTCTTGCTGGAAAAGAAATTTTATTAACAAATATTGGTGGAGTGACAACTTAAAAGTAATAGAGTTTATATAAAAACTAGTTGTCCCAGCGAACTCTGTACCTCCATAAAAATAGGGGTTGGTGGTAGAAGGGTGAAAATTTAGGGTTGTATGTATTTTTGTATGATATATCATAAAAAATCTGAATATGCATATAAAATTTCACGAAAATCGGTCGAGCCGTTTCGGAGTAGTTCAATTACGCACACCGTCACACGAGAATTTTATATATTACAGATACAATGAGGCTTATTTGAATTTCATGCATATTCCCTATTGCGAAAGTTACGCTGTTATGCTTTCTCACCTTTGAGTTTCTGGGTTGTGATGATATTTTATTAAGAGACAGAGGAAACCTTTAAGAATGATTTATTTAACTTTTTGTTGAGAGAATATTTTTATTATAAATCTAATAAGGAACGAAAGTTCACCAACTACTGTAGGTAAAATCTATAATCGTCTAAAAGAATATTATAAGTAAAATTAAAGACAGCACCTCCAATACCGTAATATAGATACTTTTTCTAAATTGATCAAACCAGGAATCCGAACCGGTTTTTGTTTATAGCAAGGTAGGCAAATTACTCTACCCCACCTGATGTTAAGTGGTGATAAAGTCCAAAAGTGAAGACAGCCGGTGCAGCAGTTACAAACTGCCACACTAATCAACCTCACCTTGCCGGCCCGCGAATTGCTCCTTCATGCCTTGCTTAAAGGACCCCATATTGTAGAAAGGAGGGAAAGAATTAAAAAAGGAAAGAAGAGGCAAAGAATTCCAAAGATAATGTAATACCATATTTGATTGCCATAAATACGATGGAGTAATTCATATAAAAAAAACATTTGAACATCGTCACTTAGACTGATTTAAAAAGAAAACTCAACTGAAACTCTATAAGTAACCATTCGCAGATCTCCCCATTTACTATTCAGTTCATCAAGCCCGAATCGGAAACGACTATTCTAACAATGATGATGAAATCTCATTCATATAAATGGAACGTTGCTTTACAGAATAATCACCAAGTTAAAATTACGCGATTCCAATCAAAATGGATTTTATCTGATTATAGTATACCCCTCAAACGGAATCCGAATTGACGGGGGCCACCGAATTTGCATAATCGAGAAATTGATTGAAGCGTATCTGCTGAAAGTAAGCGGGGAAAAAAAATATTCAATTCGACGGAGCGTAGATGTCTTTCTAATGACGCCGGCTCGTGGTTTCCGATGGTACTACGTGCCTGTTGCATGTGACACCTAAGGTAGAACGATTCTTCACCTAAACATTTGGTAAATAATTTAAATGCGATAAATGCACTTTTAGTTTTTTTAAGTTATAAAACGATATATTTCATAAACTATTCTTTATTATGAATATTAGCGAATATCTTTGGTTGCATTAATTTTAAGATGTTTTACATATACTTTTCTTTCCATAAAATGTGGCAACAATCGTAAATATTTAATGGTGAAATGAAATCGGTATTATCCAATCTTATGACATTGGAAAAATCAAATGTTCTACAAAAAAAAAAATGGTTGCCTGTAAAGTCGGTTTTACGGGCGAAGATTTTACGTGACAACGTCTTTTTCTCGGTAGAATATTTATTGATATGAATATAATTAAATTGCACAATAGGAACAAGGAATTGAATGAAAATAAGAATTGCACAAATTTTAACTATAGAAATATATTTTGTTTACTAAAACATTGTACATGTAAACTTAAACTTAACACGAGAGACTCATCGTAACGTTACCGAGCGTTACACTTTTTCATAAGTGACTCCCAGCCGCAACCTAATTTAAGACGTTGTCACGTCAAAAAATACTAAAATAACTCATCTTCAACGCCAAAGAGATCGGGCGCAGTTGTAATCTGCACATAGACGATCTACGACATCGAACTCACCCATTATACAATGGGTGTAGTGTATACATTGTAGCTCAAAATTATTACGGATTTTTTAGTTTCAGCATTGACTTTATCATCATTGTGCGTAGAACTAGTAAGAAGGATGTTTTTTTTCCTGCAGAAAAGCCTCAGGACGTAGCTGATTATTTTGACAAAGTTCACAAATGACAAACTCACTATTCTTTTTTGATAAATATGAATTAAATCGGGCAAAAACGCTTATTAATTAAATAATTAAAAAATTACACTATAAGTAATAACATAGCCTCATCAAAATAAATAAAATATAAAAAATAACACTATAAAATTTTGCCTTACTTAGTTGGTGACGCGCGACTCCGGCACCGGGTTTTCACCAAAACTCCGTAATGTGTACCCGCTTCGCTGATACGGTACTCGGCATCAGCCTGCTGGCTAGCGGTAGGGGAATAAGGTAGTCGAAATCGCCGTTTCATGTGATAAACGGTAAAAAAATATAACGCGTAATAAGTTGCAGTATTGTGTGCGGCAAAATTGCAACTTTTTATCGGAGGTTGACTTTTACCCCAAATAGGTAATATCCCATAAAAATTATCTCCTAAAACGCTAACATGTTTGGCAAACCTCGAAAGTATATTGAATGAAGGTAAACAAAGAGCATTCACAAATCCTAATATCAAAGCATCTCCGAAATGCTGTAGACTGCTAAATTTAATCTTCATTTGGCGAGACAAGAGTTGTTTGCGTTAAAAATATCAGAACCCAATACAAAGCGACATTGTTGTTTACTAAAGCGCGCGAGAACAACAAGAGGCACGAAACGCCTGCTGACTTTTGTTTCGTCGAATTTTACGACAAACGTGGAAGCTGAACTCTCTCCCTAGATTACTTCCCACAATCATCAGAGTATAACTGGATCATCCTAGGATGTATCACGAAAACACGAAAGGCTCGCTGAATAGATTGAATCCCATTACCAAGTTTGGAATATTGCAGGCTGCGCAAGGACCTGTTTGTGTCAACACAAATCCAAATTAAATCCATTGACATTCGGAATTAGATCGCAGAACCGAACAGTGCCGTAGCACTTCAGACCTGAACTAATTCAATTTGGTCAAAGTGGATCTAAGGATAGTTCAGCGGATCCGGGTACAAACAAAAGCACACAGCAATGGACAAATAAACAGACAAATAAAGGACAAAGGGCTCACCAGCAAAAGAGAATGCCTCCACGGAATTTATTTACGTACAAGCCACAACCGACCGACCGACCGCTGGAATGCGGAAAGGTTTTATATTGTGGCAGTTAATTGATATTTGCGTTAGAATTGAGCATTTCATGGACAATGCCAATTAACATTGTGTACATTCTTGTCATTCGGTTATTCAATTAGTAATCACGTAGAGCTTGCCACTCTGGAAAACAAATGTTATGCTCCCACAAATGAGTGCGAACAATTTATTCACTGTTATATGTTTTTTTTGTATAATGCTATTTGAAGTTATATCTACAGACTAGTGTACGGCGTATGTACTGTCCTATCCAAACAATCTTGTAAAAAATAATCCTAATTAATAAAACTTAAGAATCCTGCAATTTGTGGTCTTATCAATCAATGGTCATAACTCGTCCGAATAAATTTAATTCGCCAGTAATATATCTTTTATATTATAGCAAATAACCATTATACATAACACACTTGCTGTTATTATAAAAACTTTAGCAATTAACCATAAATCTGATGACCTTTTAGAAGCTTAAGGCTTGCGACACTATAATGACACTCGATCGTTGCCTTACCTAACTCCACCCCTTACTACGTCGAGCCTTGGAATCTTTTCTCACTGACAAAACTCGATTTCTCCAGAATGTAGTGTTTTATATGTATGGTGGTGTTTACTTCAGCAAAGGGGCGTTTTAATTCAATTATTACTTAGATAATTAATAACTCATAATCTAAATATGACACAATGAGAAATTGGCTGTCAAAGAGATGAGACGTCGTAATTGTTATCGCAAAAGTAGTTAAGCATCAACTACAATGAAACTTAGGAAGCCGGAGTGTGATATTAGAATGAAAAGTACACGCGTAGACTGCAAGGGTCTTAGACAAAAAATATTAAGAGTTAAAATTTCATGCAGGTCGACCAGAGCCTTCAGTGCAATGGCTGGTGAACGGGGTGCTGGTCGACGAAGAGTATGAGCACAACACGGGTGACGTCATCGAGAATCGGCTGCTGTGGCCTGCGATACGCCGCGCCGACTACGCAGCCGTGTTCACTTGCCAAGCGGCCAACTCACATCTGGTGCCACCCAAGGAGGTCTCATTAGTGCTAGACATGTTCCGTGAGTATCAAAACTTTTTTTCTATAAATTATTGTTGTTTATGGTAGAGCACAACGCGGGTGACGTCATTAGTGGCCCGCGATACGCCGTACCGACTACGCGGCTGTGTTCACCTGTCAAGCGGCCAACTTGCATCTGGTGCCACATAAAGAGGTGTCATTGGTTTTAGATATGTTTCGTGACTACCGAAACTTTTTTCGAATACTTATTATTGTTTATTTGTGAGCACAACACGGGCGACGGTATCAAGAATCGGCTGCTGTTGCCTGCAGTACCCCGCGCCGACTACGCGGCTGTTTTCACTTGCCAAACAGACAATTCGTATATCTGGTGCTACCTAAGGAAGTGTCATTAGTACTAGACATGTACCGTGAAACGAAACTTTTTTATAATCTTATTATGTATTTGTAAGTACAACACGGGTAACGTCAACGAGAATTGCCTGCTGTAGCCCATGATACGCCGAGCCGACTTCTAGGCCGTGTTCACCTACTCAGCAGCCAACTGGCATCTGGTGCTACCCAAGGAGGTGTCATAAGTTCTAGACTTATTACGTGATAATCGAAACTTATTCGAATATCTATTTTTATTACGCACCTAATCGGTTATCAATCAAAACTTTTTTGCCCTCTTAATTTTAAGAAGCAACTGAACAAAAATTGTTTTGGAACAGCAATCGTAGGTATTAAAACAAAAAAAAACTAAAAGCAGTCGCTGCCTATTGCAAAAGTTCCATAATTTTGAAGCGCCTAACGGCTCGCCTCACAATTTGCAATCAAAGTAAATTCTTGACAAAGTGCCGGGTTATCTTATTCTACTTGATCCTACTACTATCAAAAAGAAGTGATAGCATCAACCTTATTCTCACTCCAAAATAAATGACGTCTATGATGAAAGCCTTATCTGTGCAAATACATATTTACTGCAATTATTTCCTACCTACCTTTGCGGTTACTATAATGGGTTGGTCGCTAACTCGGCTAAAATGACAATACTCGGAATTTGCGAGGCAACGTGCAAATTAATTATGAGTTGGTTTTATTTACAGAGTACACTTACAGCCGAATATATAAAAATTTACTGTTTTTCTGTCAACAGTAAAGCCACTGACAGTGGAGATAAAGAAACCATCAGAAATGGGCGAAGGCGGAGTTCTTACTGCGGAACGGCGGTATGAAGTCACTTGCGAGTCCGCCGGCAGCCGTCCGCCTGCTATGATAACATGGCATAAAGGCAAACGACTTCTCAAAAGAATCACGGTAAGTACTTCTCATATTAAGTACTCTACAGAATACTCTGCACTAATATTTATCATAGATAAAGCATATGAAATAAAAGTCACTGATTAAATAACGTTTAAGACAGAGAAAATACACACATCAAAAGTGTCTAGGGATCAACATATATTTTTGCAATAACTTTTCTCCTGATTGATATTAATTAAAATTTTCTTTAAGGATTCATCAAATAAAGTGTTTTCGTTTGTCACAGTAACCATAAACCAAGCCACCTTTGCATTAATAAAGAAATTTGCCATTTTCCTAATAAAGGGATTTTTGACATTTGAACCACTAACACAAAAGTTCGAAAAAAAGACTGAAATAACAGTTTTCTCTAAAATTTTATTGGGTAACTTAAACAATTAATAATCCGTATTTCTACCGCGAACACTAACAACACAAGAACATCGGTTTGGCATACTCAAAATGAGTTCATCCAAATCACGCTGTGGAATGGCCGCCCATGTTCGTTGCAACAACAAAAAAAGGTCTTCTTGCGACTGGATACCCTCCATATTCGGCAGAGCTCTTCTCTGTAGCATATCCCATGCATGCTCAATCGGGTTCAAGTCTGGCGACTGAGCAGGCCAGGGCAGGACATTGATGTTAGCTGCGGCGAGAGTCTGTCTTACAACTCTTGCGGTGTGCGGTCGTGCATTATCATGCATTAACTGAAATAAGGGACCGATTTGCACTTGTAGAGGAACGATGACGTCTGATACAATCGTCTCAGCATAAATTTGAGCGTTGAGGTTGCCTCTGATCCAAATCAACTCAGTTCTTCCGCCGATCCAAATACCCGCCCATACCATGATGGTTCCACCACTATAAGGATGGACTTCCTGGCAGGATTTTAATCGCTGTTGGCGTCCAGGGGTTCTCCAGTGTCGTATACGTCTTGTATCCGGTCTCATACCAAAACGAGACTCATCAGAAAAGCACACGAAACGCCATTGTTCTTCTGCCCAATTTCTGTGTTCAAGAGCCCATTGATATCGAATCCTACGATTGTGCATTGCTATAGGTGGTACCCGTAGCGGTCTTCGGGAATGAAGGTTCACTTCATGCAAGCGGTTTCTGACTGTTTGGTCGCTAATTAAGTTCCCTGAAGAGTGATGAAGCCTCACGGCTAACATCATGGCGGTTATTGTTGGAGCTCTTCGAGTTAAGATTTGAATGTATCGGTCTTGTCTCCGTGTGGTGCAGCGATACCGTTCTCCATGGCGCTCAGCCACGGTACCAGTGCTTCGGTATCGTGTCCAAAGTCGACTGATAACACTCTGACTTGTATTCAGAGCTAAAGCCACAGTACGTTGCCGGGAACCAGCTTCTATCATTCCCACGGCTCTGAGCATTTCTTCCCTGCTTAAATGACGTCGCCGCTCCATAATAACGTTGGTTTTAATCAGTAGTAGGGAAACAGTAGCACTAATAATGTCTTCAATGCGTTGTATGTTTTTATAGGGAAAATATTGACAGCTGATTTTCATCTTTTACTCGAATTTGATTCACAGTTCCTGATTCAAATTATGAAATGCACCAAAAAGGATCCATATAAATTTATAAAATCATAAATTTATTACAAAGCCACATCTCAATCTCAAGAAATCCGCATAAAAATGCTTGATCCCTAGACACTTTTGATGTGTGTACATCAATAGGTAACATGGGAATTCCATTACTTATTCACTTGAATTTGCTAATTCTTAGGCTGAAATTGCCTACCTTAACATTCTAAAGTAAAGGGTGAAAGTTAAAGGGAAATAAAGGAAAATTGAATCACCTAGAAAATAAACCTACAGGTTAGGTCATCACCTAGAAAATAAACCTACAGGTTAGGTTCGGTTACTAATCGTATTTTTTTCAAGGTGAAATATTTTATTTTATTATCATTACTAGCGGCCGCCTGCGACTTCGTACGCATGGAGTTAGAAATAAAAGTTCACTGCTCGTTTCACGTGCCAAATTTGAAGTAAATCCATGCAGTACTTTTTGAATTTATCCCATACATACACAGACAAAAATTCTAAAACTATATTTTTGGCTTCGGTATAGATTGTAGATTACACCCCAAGTATTCTTTTAAAAAAATATTCAATGTACAGTTTTGACTTTCCTTCCATTTTATTATATATAGAAATAGATTAAATATGTGCCAAACTCGAATATTACTTTTAAACCATTACGAGGAGAATAAACCCCTTACAATAAATTTACACGAGTTCCTATATGTTAAACTACGGTTTCTGATTGAACTGATTGTTATTGATGGCACATTTGCATTTTATCCTTTTGAAAATTCATAAATATCCCTGTACCAAAGTAGTTTCAGAGCTTTATCTTTACGTAAAAGAAAAATTTATGCATCTTCATATCATACTAACTTTGTATTTTTTACTGAACCAAACAATCTATTCTCTGAAAATAACAATAATTCATCCTGACCACATAGCCCTTTAGATTATTCTATCTATCAGGTTGTTATTACATCGTTCATTGAAGCTAACAAGATTATTATCAGTATAGTGATATCTTTGGCAGTAAACACTGGCTACTAACTGTTCCTCTCCTATTTCTGATATCTAATATCCATTACAGTGAGTTGTCTCAACAGATTTAAGAAAATCTCTGCATTATCATCAAATCAAATACTCGCGAGGCTTAAATTTGGCGATTCGGAGACATACATATCAAATAACTGTAAAACAGAATAAAATATGTATAAACACACACAAACATACACACACATAGACACACACACTCACACACGAAGTAAATTTGAGTCTAATGAAAGATTACCAGCAGCAGAGAAAAGGTCAAACACGATTTATGAATTTCCTTAAATTTTAAGCATTTTTAAGCAAACGGAAAAAAGATTTGCTAATTCAATTTAGCTAAAAGAATTTAATAACGTTTACACAACTATATAAAAAAGTAAACATAATTCTAGACTGACCTTTAGAAGTAATTATAGTAATAATCTTTATGTTTTGGGTAAACTTTATATATTAACAAGCCTTTAATTTATTGGAAGATTGAGAGACATTAAGTCAAATAAAGAAAAAAGATGGGAGAAAATCACAGCATGATCAAAAGTAGATAATATGACAAACTGTCCAATATCCGGATATGTCACACTTGAACCTGCAATTAGTGGGCATTAAACCGTAAACAGTGGCAAGACAAGTGGCAACGGAGCAGTGGCGTGCATTAGGAGAGACCTATGTCCAGCAGTGGACGAGCATGGGTCGATGATGATGATGAAACCATAAACAGTGATGTTGTTACGCATCTGTGTGTGAATTTATAGATAAGAGCACCGTTGTGATGTTTGCTCAGCAATAACATGCTTGAAGAGGGTCGTCGCTTGCTGTAGTACTAGCAACCGCCCGCGACTTCGCCCGTGCTAACTTTTGTTTTTTGAGAATCCCACAGGAACCGTCCAGGTCATAAACTTCACTACACCTATATATTAGTATGCGTACTAAATTTCATCCATATCAAACAAACTCACTTTCGCATTTCGCAACTGATATGAGTTAGGATATAGAAACGATCATTATTGGAAAAATCAGTTATAATTATGGTAGTTTATTTGTTATTATTTTTTTAATTAGTGACGTTTAATTTTAGATACATTTAAATGCCACAAACTTCAAACATTAAATTACCACAGCTTTTTAGAAGAATATTCAAGTTCATTAGAAGTATTTGATAAAGTTACTAATGTTGGATCAACATATGCTACTAAAGATGTGTACGATACGTTATGATATTTTCCTACTTTTATCAGTGTACGAATTGATCAATTTAAAGATAACGAAGAAGTTATAAATTAATCTCTAATTAATATAAGATCATGTCTTATACACGAAAAGAGGCATTTAACACAAAAAGCTTAATACAAAACAATATAAGCATAATTTTAATGATTTTATACTATATAAAGAAGAGCATGTTGTAATATAAAATTATATTAACATACACACGCATCTTACTCACAACAGAAAACCTTTAACTAATTAAACACCAGTTAATATTTTTTAAACTATTGAATAAACAATGAATAAGCCATGATTATTAGATATCTACAGTGGAATATTCTAAATATTCGTATGAATTTATTGCTTAAAGCCTAACTGAAATAGTAAATTGGGTTTAGAAAATCAGCGTAACTCACTAGCCGAACCCTACTTTACAATTAGCATGTTTTCGACTAACTACCCTTGATTAATTCTATCTCAGTGTTCCTACAAGCACCCACGGCGTCTCCGCAAACGAGAGCTTCAAGTTATTTTGATGCAAAAGTTTCAAACTAGTTGGTATTGATTTTGGTGTGACGCAACGTGTTGGAGGGCCACTAGGAGTTCGAGATACAACCATCAATTCCGTGTTCAGTAATTCGATGAACTAAGTACACACTCGTTCACTCTTAACTACCATTAAAGGATTTGCAGTTAGAAGTACTTTGGAAATGTATGAAATTTCACTGTATGATTTTGGGGTAGTAGTTTTTTAACTTTACAGCGTATACTTTTTTTGTGTCAGCAGATTCATTATTTTTGTGTCAGCAGATTAACTAATCAAATATAAAATGTAATTAATATTGCTGTCTGTTAATTTGAACATGTTTCTACTTTTATTGTGTTTTTGAAATAAATCAGAATATCATAGGAATCTATACTCGATCAACATTTTTTTGGTAAAAAAAAAGAATCGCTGGAAGCAGCTCGGCTTCGTTTTGATGCACAAGCTGTAGACTAGTCGGTATTGATTTTGGTGTTGCAGGCGTGAGCTGGAGTATCGCCAAGTCAGAGATCGATCCACATCCATCATCGCCCAGTAATCACTGCTCCTGAATTCACCTCGTACATCATAATGCTTCCATGTTCTCGCTACTGTGAACCGATCTTAAATAGCGCTGTAAAAACTTATTCATTATTGAGATAATAAATAAACATTTCCAAAACTCACACCAA